ATTGTAATTTGAAAGATAACATATCAAAAATTTATAATTATTAAATTAAATCAAATTTTTATATTTATTTAATTCAATACATGATTTTATATATTTCTTTAATGCTTTAAAATTTTTCCAATTTTAATTTTTTTTTTAATTTAAAAAATTTGCTTATAAATTAATTCATCAAAATTTGTGAATTTTTCAAGCATTAAATTCAATCTGTAACACAAAATAAAAGGAAGAGAGAGAGAGAGAGAGAGCGGAAAATGAAAATTGATGGAAAAAAAATTTTCAAATTCTTTTGATGCATAAAAAATTAAAAGATGAAATAAAAAATGAATTAATAAATGAAATGAAATAAAATAAAATGAAATGCATGAATGAATTGAATAGAATTAAAGAAGGAAATAAATGGATGAATAACAAAACTATTTTATCATTAAATAATTATAAATGTTTGTTTTTATTTATCCAATAAATGTCCTTTTTTTTTTTTTTGTTATTTACTTAATAACATCTTTCAACTATTTGTCTTTTCGTATATTTTTCGCTCAGAGAACTTATCCTATTTAGCATTATGCAAATTATACATTAATTTTAAAGTTTATTAAGCTATTGAAATTTTTTTTTTTGATTGATTTTCTTTTCATTATTTAATCATTAAAAAATTTTCTTTTAATAAAAGTACTTTTTTTTTAATTTACAATTTAACAATTTTAAAATAAAGAAATGTTTATTGTTATAAATCTTAAAAGTGATTATTTGTTTATCAATTGACAAATGGTAAATAAATAAATGACGTCGTATTTTAAATTCATAAAATGTACTTTATCATAATGATAAATGTTCATTAGATAAGATCAGAAAACAAACAATAAAAATTGTCAAAATTTTTTTTTTTTTTTGAAATAGAATGAAAAATTTATTAAAAATCTCCAAATGATATCAATTTTTTTTCTTTTTTGAAAAAAAAAAAAAAAAAAAATAAAAATGAATAATAAAATGTGAATTTAGTTATTTCGATTTTAAAATTGTTATCAAAGTGGAATAAAACGATGAATTTTAGATGTGAGAAAATGACAAAATGCAAAAAAAAAAAAAAAGAAAAGAAAAAAACTATGTCTAAAAATGATTCATCGAGAAAAGTTTTCAAAATCAAAGAATAATAATTTGCTCAATAAGCCATGTTTTTCCTTTTTTTTTCTCTCTCTCTCTTCTTTTCTTTTCATCTCTTCCTCTCCTTTGTTTTTCTCTTTCTCGTCATTTTTGTTTTTCATTTAGATAAATTATTTAAAAATGTATTGATATTGAATTTTAATCATTTCCGGTAATGATTTCAAAATTTGCAATTTAATTCATTGAGCAGAAATACTTTTAAAATTAAACAACAATTAATTAAAAAGTAATTTTTCTTTTTTTTTTTCCATTCCTTAGTAAATAAAATGTATAAACAAAAAAAATTGCTTTTTTTTTCTTCATATTAAAAAAAAAGCAAAATTAGAGGGAGAGAGAGAGAGAGAGAGAAAAAAAAATTGCTAAAGAAAATAAATGGATGAAAAAAGAAAATGGAAATTACTAATATTCATTTAAAACATAATAATATATAAATGTTAGTAATTCATTTCCATTATATAAGTAAGTAAATAAGTAAGAGATGGGATTAATTAATTAATTAATTAACTAATAGAAAAATGAGAAATGTGAAATATGCAATGATGAATGATATAAGTGTAGTTGGATTGATCTATATATGTCGAAGTTGAAAGAGGAAATTGAAGTTGGGAAACAGAGAGAGAGAGAGGGAAAGGGAGAGAGAAGCAGAGGGAGAGAGAGAGGTGATTTAATTGTTGCTATTATGGTTTTGGTGATAGTGGTGTGGTTGATGGTGACAGTGATGATGACGACGATGATGACAGTTGATGATGACAGTTAATGATGACAGTTGATGGTGACAGTGATGATGACGACGATGATGACAGTTAATGATGACAGTTAATGATGACAGTTAATAATGACAGTTAATGATGACAGTTAATGATGACAGTTAATGATGACAGTTAATGATGACAGTTAATGATGACAGTTAATGATGACAACGATGAGCGCTATTTGTTGGAAGGAAGAGAAAAGGAAAGGAAAAGGAATGAAATGAGACAGAAGTGTGAAAAGACGAAAAGAATATTGAGAAAGGATTGAAAAATAGGCGGCGGAATTGGTTGACTTTTTAAACGATGACAAAGAGAAGGGGACAATACCGCCAGAGGAGCGGAAAGTGATGATGAAGAGTGGTAGTGTTGTCTGTGCATTGAAAATAGAGTTAAATTTGAAGTGAAATGAAGGAATGTGAACCGATTATACGCATGTATGTATGTATGTTTGTATGTTTGTATGTTTATATGTATGTATGTATGTGTGTATGTGTGTATGTTTGTATGTTTATATGTATGTATGTATGTGTGTATGTTTGTATGTTTGTATGCATGTATGTATGTTTGTATGTTTGTATGTTTGTATGTATGTATGTTTGACATGTTTTCGTATGAATGTGACCGATAAACCTTTTATATAATAATTATTATTAAACATACACAAATAGTACATTCATATCATATTTGTATAACTGAAATAAATGAATGATTTGTGATAAATAAAATAACGAAAAATTAAAATTATTAATTATAATTAAAAAAATTATGATTAATTAATAAATTATAATTAATTATTTAATAATTTAATATAAGAAAATTAAAAGTGAAAAAAAGAGTTTTTTTTTTTTGATACATTTTTAAATTTTTTTTTCCAAGCAAAAAAAAAAAATGAATAAAAATTTAGGAAAAATAAGCGCAAAATCAGTTGTACGATTAAAAATCGATGCGATTAAATAATAAAACATTAATCGTTTCTGTTGCTTATGACAACTTTTTTGATATGTTTGAAATTTTCCTGGAATTTAATATACAATAAATTAAATTATTTATAATTAAATATTAAATAGATGACCCTAATTCTTTGTATTATTTGTTACAACAATCAAATAAAAATAATACAATGGGCAAAATTTTAAATTAATAGTAATGAATGCAAAAATTTATGTGTAACTGAACTAAATTTAAATATAAAAACTAAATTAAACATTGTCGTATGAATTAATTAATGAGTGAATTAATTAATTAATTTTAAAGCCAGAATCATTGATGAAAAACTATAAGTTTTGCATTCATTTTATTACTGTGAAATTTTGACAAATTCAAATTTAATTGAAATGTGTCATCTTTAAAACATATGACAATTAATGAGGATTCAGGTTAGAAAATTGCAGGGTAGTATCATATTCCATCCGAAATTTTCCAGTCGTATCAATTTTTAATCCGGAATGCAACCGTACAGTCTTCTCAGTTCCAATGAAAGATTCTAGAATCGGAAATACATACAGCCTACCATCATTATTTATTGCATACTTATTTACTTTATTAAAATAATTTTTTATTTGACCTTTACAAAATGTAGTAATAAAAAAAAAAAAAGACATTGTTGATTAATGTTTATTAAAGAAAAATTAATTAAATAAATATCCATCAAAATTAAACCGAAATTATATCTTACAAAAATAAATTAATGTAGTTGTGAAATTTAAAAAATAAATAAAAAAATAAATGAAATTTTAAAAGTTAGAAATTTCTTGCATATTTATGAAATTGTTTAATGTGTTATAATAGTTTTAGATGAAATTATGCAATATATAATTGCAATAACAAATTTCTAAAAAAAAATTTTTTGAGAAATTTCTTTTTCGCAAATTCGTCTCTTTGTGATTAATAACTAAAAATAGGAATGTATCCTCAATCAAAAAAAAAAAAAATAAATAAATAACAAAAATGAAAGATTTTTTTTTTGAGCAAAACTACAAATTACAAAAATGGAGCAAAAGAAGTACATGAAAGAGGAAAAGTGAAGAAAGAATTAAGAAAATAATTTGATCAGTAAGAAATATAATCTTTGAGCGATTTTTTTTTTTTTTTTTTTAAAGGGAAAAAATAAATATTCCATACATTTCTCTGCATTTGTATTAATTTTCTTTTCTCTCTCTCAGCTTCTAATCAAACAAAATTTGATATATAAAATGTTTTTTTTTTTTTTTCAAATGTTTGGTTAGAGAATTTAAACATTTCTGTGGTAATTCGAAAAGCGCTCAATCGTTTTAAATAATTTTCGATTCATTAATCATTTTCGTATTTACAAGAACCTTAAAAAGGGTTTTTTTTTTTTCTTCCTTTTTTTTCCTGTCATTCAAAAAGAATTTTAGGATTTCAGATTTAAACATTTAATTCTATTTTGCTTCGTTTTTTTTTTTTTTTTTTTTCCTATTTCATCTTTGAGGAGACAGAATAAAATGATTATTCTGGTGGGAAAGTTTTAAATGATATTTAATCGATCATATTACATGATTAAAGAATTTTTATGTACTTGCTAGTAAATTTTGGCGTATAAAATAATGATCACTTCATATTTCCTTCTTCTCTACCAAATATTCTCCTTATATTATGACAGAAAATGCAATACTCTCGTACTGAAAAGAAGATAAGTTTCATATTGCATTTATTGTATTGCTGCTAATTATCCATCACGAATAATTTTGAAAAATATGAATTCAATCCTTCTTGCATATTTGATAATATGCAATGGCTTTTGTCATTTCTAGCTTTTCTCAAAATTTATCTCTTCAAAATCTATTCAAAAAATTTTATTACTGAACACAATTGAAGAAGTTTAAAGAAGGAAATCAATTGTAGGTGGTAATAATACAACTAACGTATCTAATACCTACACAATTAATACATCATATCAATTCCTGTCTTGATATTGAATTTTCATGTCACCCGCACACGGTAATATCAAACGTAAGACAGGAGGCAATTATTATGTATAATACATATATCACAGAATGAATGTGATGTAAACTGTACCCGCAAAATGAAAGAGGTTCAAAAAAAAGAAATGGACAATATGATAACAATTCAATCATTGGGATAAACTTTTTTATGCCATGGTCGAGATGTATAATGCTTCCCATCGAATGCTTCGAAATAATTCTTTACAAGTGGATGAAATATCTGAAAAAAAAAAAAATTTAATAAAAAAAAAAACCACAAAAATAATGAAAACCTATTGCTTTTCAAGGAAAGAAACGATGTGAAATTGCTGGAAAAAAGGAAATACTAAAAATTTCTTACTACTCTAATACAATAAAAAAAAAAAAAAACAAAAACAATCAGTCAGTTCAAGGCATTTTCCCAGCAATCAAATAATTAAAAAAGGATCAAGAATATTATCCATTAAAATAATGACAAAATATTCCAGGACTTCAAACTTCAATTTCAATCTGATATTTTCTAGTGATTAATTAACTCATTTACGCCGAGAATAAATCTTTCCACTCAATCTCTTTTCTAAAAGATTGCAAAAAGACTGATATTTTGCATTATTTTATAAATCATACTCAAGAATAAAGTCGCTAATGTCCATAATTCTTATTCTTCAACACAGAACTTCAGAAAAGTATTTGTAACATAATCTATAATCAGCTCACAGTAAAGATATCATTCAAAATGATAAGCTAGAAACCCATACCCTTCCTTCTCCGAGTTCGATATTCTCTTCAACAACGTAAGCCAACTGTGGAATTAGTCTATCCCTAGTGTCGATTATTACCGAATAATTCGGCATTTCTGACCAATCCTACAAGTACAATCACTCTACAAGTGGAAGAAAAACTGCTAAAAACAAAATAAAATCAAAATACCAAAAAATACTCGCGAAATGCAGCCTGAAAATCAAAATATGGAATGAGTAACTGCCATACGATATACAAAAGCACTGAAATATACATCTTAAAATGTAGAAAAACTTGTGGAAAGTTACATCTACTTACCTTTCGGCCTTTATGTGTCTTATCTAGCCAACTTTGTGGCGCAACCGCTTTCTCATCCCAGCCAATGATAACACCTCTATATCCATGAATTTTATGACGAACCACATCCCCAACACGATATTTTATATAAGGAGGTCGTGGATCTCGTGGTTCAAGAGAACCTGAAATAAAACTGGTATATTAGACGATTATATACTTATGTGTAACTATTAAAGATTCACCGTAACTGCAGCGATAAACAAAATGGAGCAATTAATTTCAGCAAAATTACCACCAAAATATTTAGTTTCTTTCTCGTCTTCTGATATATCAGTAACTTCATCTATTTCCTCTTCTCTGTGTAAAAACGATCGAGAGAAATGTGACAATGAATTTCTTAATCTGAAAAAAAAAAAGTAAAAGAATCTATGGAAATAATGGACAACAATTCACATGAACACAATGAATAATTCAGTATAACTTGTGTATGCTTCGCGACAAATTTAATCACAAAGAATATTATTGCTTTTCTCTTTAAAAATTACTAGGAAAAGAAAGAAAAGAAAACAAAGGAAAAATAAGTAAAACTGAGAAATGCACACTCAATATCAAACAATTCAGAGAATAAAAAAAAATAGAATTAGACACCGTGAATTTAAAAAACGAAATAAAAATGGGATTCACTATTTCCATAACTAAAATGTACTGATTTAAAAATGAAAACAGCATTTTGATAAAACCCAAAACTTACTTATGCAAATGATATCTGACGTCAGATGTTGATGACGGTGATAAAAGAAATTGCAAAGGTACAGCAACAAATATGGCAAGAAAAATAATCACTGGCGTATATTCTACCATAGCTTGACTAACATAACAGTAATTCATAAGAACTGAAATTAAAAAATTCCGAATTTCAAAAAAAAAAAAAAAAAACTGACTCCATAATATCTATGTTAAATGCTGTCTTAGGTCTTTTGAATTTTAAAAAGGAAAAAAAAAGGAATGAAAGAGTGAATGGCGAATATTCAAGCAAATTGTACAGTTTGAAAAAAAAAAAAAAAAATACTGAATTTTGCAAGAACGAAGAAAGAACCTGATATTGTTACGAGCACATAAAACGAGCATTTAATATCATATAGTCACGCTTGCAATCCAAAAAAATTGACCATCATAATAATCGTTATCTTCAAATTTTCTAAATATGCTTAAAAAAGATCTGGAAATCTTGTTTGCATGTTCTGTCGAATGTTCAAGATCGAGATAATTCACAATCCAGTGAAAGACTTAAGATATTTCTAAGGTATATGGCATTTTTTAAAACAAAATTCCGGATGTTTTCGTGGTTCATCAGAATGTTTGAACCAGGCCTCATTGCTATATTGTATTAATCCAAACAACATTCAATAGCTGCTATTTTCCTAGTCGGTTCACTTTAAAGTGCAAAATATAGTATTCCAGAACTCTTCCTGTAAAAACGATTAGATTGTCCGGCAACCGTAGAAGATGCGATAAGGAATAAAGTTGTTTTCACAATAATGCAACGTCATCGTCACTTGACGATGACGTTGCATTATTGTGAAAACAACCTTTAATATATTTCAAATAAACAAGAAAATGAAAAACAAATGGTGATAAAACTAATGCTAATTTACAAATTTAATTATTCCAAACTGTATAAAAAAGATTTTAAAAAAATTTTGGCATTTTTGAAAAGAATTAAAGAAATTGCAAATAAAATTGAAATTTTTATAATTTGAATACAACTTCTAGTCACAATGAAAGTGACAGAAATAAATTTCGCTTAGTAGGAATATATACTACATCTTGAACTCTCATCCTAGTGAAGCTCTCAGATAAACCTCACACCTCGGTACAAATGAAAAAAAAAGAAAAAAGAAACCTCATTGGAGGTCATTGTTTACCAAATGGTGAAATGTGACTTCGGGCTTTAAGCTAAAATTAAAGTTTTACTTTTTTTTTTTTTGATTTTTGAGCGTGCTCAACGTAGTATTTAATAAATAGCGTAGAGTTGTAAGTTTTCTTGACCTTCTGTTGTATACGTCATTTATGTATTTGTAATGTCTTTAAGTGTATACGTCATTTTATGTAAATTAGTCTTAACACATGCTTGCTAAATTTATTCTATTTCTTTTCATTCCATCCTCTGAGACATTTTGGCAGACAAACACCAAAGAAAATTTTCGTACATTGGTTAAAATTGATAAGTGAATTGAAGTATATGTGACAAAGTATGAAATAGTATGTTTACATGAATGAATAAAGACGGAATTAACCTGCGAAAATGTATTTGACAAAGGGCTCTGCTAAACAGCTGCAAATATTAATTTGAGTAGAAAAGGGCAGTGCAAATAAAGCGACAGTAAAAATTGATAACAATGATAAGAGTAGTTGATTATTGATTGTCGTTGTTATTATCAGTTATTTAATAAAATACGTGCTTTCTATGGAAAATGTCAGATAACTGATATTTTATGTTTTCATTTGTCCTACTTCTAATTTCAGATAGAGTCTATAAAATATCATTACTCTTCGTTTTGATATTAAAAAAATTTTTCATATTTATGGTTTTTTATCTCTTTGTTTTATTTCAGTAATGAAACGAATGAGCTGTTTACTTTATCGGCATCTGGCTTATCGCGTATGTTGGATGAAATGGAATGATGAGAGATTATTAAGAACTTCTGTAATACCATCGTCTACTTCGATGAATGTCGTGAAATTAAGCTCAAATCGTTGTAACAGTTTGATTATGCCATATTCGCTTATCAAAGATAAAAGCTGGAAAAAAAAATTGGAATACGCTGCTTCTTGCTATCAAGTTGTAAGTGCATTCACTTAAGTATATCTCCTGTCATTTCTTCAGACCGTATAATTTGTAGGTTTAACCTTTGTGACACATATAAGTTTGCAGCTTTTGACACGAACATAATGTCATTGGTTGAGCCTTTGTTTCTGATTTGTATAGATCGCTAATTTGTTGTCGAGAATATATTATGGTAGATGTTTACCTTATTTAGCTTTTAGCAACTTAATCATAAAACTTAAATTTTTCAATTCGGGTTATTTCGAGATCGTAACGTTGCTCCCCTTTTTCCTTATTTTTCTTTTTCAGAATACTGAGGATGCGTTAAATGCTGTTGTTTCGCTTGCCCGAGAAGATTGTGAAAAGGGGACAAGTACAGCCAATCGTATACTTTATTTAGCTATGGATATGGCTTTAAACCAGGTTAGACCATCTTTTTTAGCTAATGAAAATCATATTAGTATACAGTTAGTTAGTGTCATTACCAAATGCAAGAAGTTTGAAACCTTTTTATTTTATTTTATTTTTTTTTTTAAACTATGCACGAAAAATATAGAATGTTAGAATTTTTGAGGGTCGTATTGATGTAGCTGAAGAAATGTTCAAGTTATTGCCTCGACGTGTCCATGTATTAGCTACTAGTTTGAAAATTCGTTTTTTCGTCCTTCAAAAGCGGTTTTGGGATGCGTTAAACGAAGTGGAAAAAGTCTTAAATGAAGATACTGCAAGCTTGGATGTGTCGAAGAAAATTTCGAAATCTGTAATGGATGAATTTTACAAAGTACTTTCAAATTGTGACGATGCAGTTGATGAGGTTAACTTCCTTTTTTTCAGAAATTGAAATTATTGTGAAGTTATAATTGAAATACGAGAACGTCAAAATTTTACAATCTTTTCCTTAACTTACAATAAATTTTAATTAAAGTTTAATTAAATTTTGAAACTATAATTCAATTTTTAAATAATTTGTTTTTTCTTACTACAAAACGTATGACTTTTCTGATTTCTCTGTTACTCCTCCATTACTTACTTCTCTTCTTGTTCATACTCATTTTTAGGGTTTTTATTTATGAACCAATTGCGATTTATGATAACAGTTGTAGTTTATTTTGAAAAACATTGAATGCATAATGGATTTGGAAGTTTCCTACATTACTTATTTTATTTTTAATTTAACTCAAATCAGATAATGAAGTTCCAAATCTGGAAAATTTAGGTTATTTTGCAGTTAACTTATTTATAGATATTTCAGGCGAAAACATTATATAAGCTACAAAGGTTGCTCAGTAAATACAATAGACGTACAACGAAAACACTACGTGAATTACTACTATCTGATATGTATATTCCATCTAGAAAAAAATCCATAAAAAGCAATTTGAAAATTGATGATGACATATTGGACAAAATTGTTGAACATGCTCCGGAAGTGCTTACCAGTAATAAAGCAATCTTAAATTAGAGCTTTTTCGTAACATTTTATAACGTCACATTTTAGATTTGTTTTGAAGTATTGTGACAAATTTCAGATGTTTTTTCTGTCAGCTCACTTCATGACTATATATCAGCGACATACTGTTCAGAATGAATGATGATTCATTGTATCTGAAGTTAATATAACTAATGTATTAATTATTAAGTATTGTTTTCAGTTTTCATAGCTTCTTTAAGTTTTCTGTGATATAGTTAAAACACCACTCAGTTATTATTTTTTTTTTTTTACTGTCAGTAAGATTTTATAGTTAAATATTGTCGTAATAAGTAAAAAAAGAAAAAATCCAAAGTTAATATAAATATATACTGTAATGTCTATTTTGTAAAGTGTGCTTACTAGGAATTGGGCATACTTCCGGTTCGCTAATTTATAACGAAAGGTGAAACAATTTAACTTAATCGGTAATTCCATCAGATAATTAGGTCATAATTTGATCGATTAATACCGTTGGTACCGAAAAGTACCATGAAATGAACTGTTATTGTGTGATGTCGGAAAATCAGATTATACATCTTTTGACAAAGGAGCAAAAAGAATGGACGAATTGTAAAAGATGAAGAAACTTGTCATCGTCATGTGTAACCTATAATCGTCGTCGTAAGATTTTAAGATGCTACCATTATGTCGAATAGATAGATATAGACGGTCAAATTTTTGATGTGTATTAGAGTTGACCCCGCGGTGAGTTGCACGGAGTTCATCGAAGTGGAATAAAAAGTAATTAGGGATGATTGTGAACCGGTATAATATAATCCAATATGGAAATCCATAAGCTTTTCTAGGACTAGAATTGAAATGAGGTAGGTATAATAGGATGAATGATTTTAAATACTATTTTAATAAGCAAGCAAGCAAAAAAAAAGAAGAAGGCAAGAAGAGTAAACGATAACATCTGGTGATAGAATAAACCGGAAAAAAGAAAAGGAAAACTGTATTTTTTTTTTTTTTTTTTTAATCAGTAATGATTAAAAGAACTGCTATTAACTCTTTCCATACTATTGCTAAAAGCGATAAAAACATTTCTATCTAAAACTACTTATTATCGGATAGACATGATGGGGTAGTACCATCTGCTTTTGTTAAGTTTAGATCACACAATATTTCGCATTTCTCTTATCCTTTATTATTCATATTACCCGATTTTTTTTTTTTTTTTTCATTAAAAACTATAACAATATATCTATTGTTGTCTGTCTGTATGTGTATGTCTGTATGTGTGTATGTGTATGTAATGCATTTGAATAATATCAAATTTTAGTATAAATATTTAGTTACAGCATAAATATTTACTATACGTTTAAAAAGAAAAAAAAAAATTAAATAATACAAATTAAAATGTGTCATATATGTATAAAAAATGTTTTATAATAGAGTAAAATAATTAATATTTAATCATTTAATCATAAAATATTTTAAACTTTACTAAATATTTTAGTCTTTTAATGAAATGAAATGAAATGAAATGAAGGAAAAAGTTTTTATCATTTGAATATTAATGTAAACAAATATATATTCTAACAAATATGCATAGACTTCTCAGCATCATCTCATTTACGATCCATTTAG